TCGTCAAAGGTTCCTTAGAGACTCTCTCTTAAGGGCTCCTGAGAACATCTAGGTCGAATTTCTATAAGCTCCTGAGAGGTTCCTTAACGACTCGTGGGAGGCTCCATGGAAGTTCCGTAGAGTCCTCAGGGGCTCTTTAGAGGCTTCCCAGAGGATTCTTAGGGTGTTCTTCGAGGTTCCTTAGAAGCTCCTTAGAAGTGCCTTCGAGGTTCCGTAGATGTTCCGTGGAGGCTCTTTAGATGCAGGGGTCGCGGACAGGCCTGTCAGTAGCCGCCAGCAAGCAGAAACAACAATCGAGAAGCTCATCGATCATACGGCCGGGAGCATCACAACCCGCCAGCAGCCTCTGGCAATCGCCGCACAACCCTCGAGCAACCTCTGGCACTCCCCGCACACCCCTCGAGCTGCGAAGCGGTAGGCGTAGTAGGCGCCAGCCCAGCCCCCTCCAACAACAGCCGCCTCGCAGGTGGTCGGCAGCTGTCGCGCTGGCTCTGCGGCGGCCGCGGCCAGCGCAGGGTCGATGCAGATCAAGATCCCCGCGAGGTTGCTGGCGCCCCGCGGGGCTACCGAGGTGACAGAAGGCATGGCTTCGTCGCCGTGCAGGCTCCCTGCGCCTCCTTCGCCACCCGCTGGCTTTGACAACACCGTCGTGGGTCGGAAAGATCGCGGAAGGACTTGGAGGGCAAGAATGGGCTCAAGGTGCGTCAGCGATGCTGCCATGCAATCGTGGTGCTACACTGGGAAACAGAGAGCGACGGAGGGAGCCTTGGTCACGAATAGGTCCCCCGACTTAGATCTAATGCGCGGCCCGAAAACCAGAGCCCCTCCTGAGCCCCAAATAGTTCTTATTTCAGCCTCTTGGCTGTACACCCTTCCGTCCCGATCTCACTCAACATGATCCTCTGCACGCTTACCATTGCAGCACGGGCGGCTGCCTCTTGCCAGACGAGAACCCCATGGGCCTGCAAATCAAACGAGGGCCCCGCATTGAAAAGGGGCCGCTCTCCATCGTTCTAGCTGTAAAAAGTGCCACGGGTGTAACCATGAAGACGGCACGAATGTCAATCTACAATCCGCTTTGAAAAGTGTCCTTCCTCATCTTTGTAGCAGGAACACTGTTAACACCGATCTGGCAAGAACAATGTTTGGGACATCGCAGATGGCAACTACTTTTGGAAAAGGGGACGTCCTCAATCCGTACAAGACTTGGGCAACGTTACTTGTATTAGTATACATTCATGAGCACAGTCGTAACGAATTGATGACGTAGCCCTGATTTGCAACTGAATCGTACTATATCCTTGTAAAACGATTGTGCGCGGCGTGGGGTAAGGCGATTACCGCATTTGGACAAAGATCGCTTTCCATCCTCGCAGCTATTGGACACTGGTAAGACGAATGTTCGCGGCGCTAAATCGAGAACCGCACTTTGAAACTGGCCCGCCCTCCATCCACGTAGCTGCCGTACAATGTCATGAGGGGTGGGGAAGTCTCAAGCGAAAGGCCGCGCCTGTTCTACCGACAAGGAAGGGCTGACTTTAGGGAAGGCATGGATGCGGAGGGAGAGTAGGCTCGGAGGAGGCTCGCCACCTCGCCGCCCCTGTGGGGTCTAGCCGACTGGTGAGCCACGCAGACCCGAGCGGGACCTCGCACTGCTTGGTTACTGAAAAGCGAGCAGGTGCCTCCTATTCCATGCCCCTCTGGGGAATCCAGCAGGCTGGCTGGCCACGCCGACCCAACACATGACCTCGTTCTCCTTGGATGCTCCAGGGTCCCAGGAGGTCTCGGAACACCTCCAGAATATCCCAAAAGAGCTGAGACACTTCAACCTCGACCGCCGATCTCCCTCCTCCTCCTTCTACTCCTTCCCCTCCTTACCCTCCTACTGCTCCTCCTTCTCCTCCTCCTCCTCTCCTCCTCCTCCTCCTCCTCCACCTCCTCCACCTCCTCCTCCTTCTTCCCCTCACCTGGTCAGTGTGTGTGTGTGTGTGTGTGTGTGTTTGTGTGTGTGTGTGTGTGTGTGTGTGTGTGTGTGTGTGTGTGTGTGTGTGTGTGTGTGTGGGGGACATCCTGGACTCGGCGATACATCGCTGGTAGATCGGCAATAGGCCCCAAGGAGCGGATCCGCACGATCCTGGGCGGGGCGGGCTATCGGGCCCCAATCGACGATGAGTGGGCGATTGGGGGTCGATGCATCCCCCCTGAGTCTATCGCCCCTAAACGTAGCCCCTTCCTCGCTGTCCCGACCAAAAGCCGCTCCAAATCGGTCTCCGACCCCTTCTGGAGTCCTTCTTAGTAGGTTTTTCACCCCGGATCGATTTCTGACGGCCGCCCAGCAAGCCCCGAACCTCCGCCTTGACGCTTGGCGCCGCGGGCAGGTGTATCACTAGGATTGATACCCCCGCTCCACTCCACCCTGACCGAAAAATCAAGAGGCTGGAAGCTCGCATGGCTGGATTTACGCGTGGGTAGGAGGCCACGCGCTAGACACACGCGCGGACGCCCAACCTGCACGGCCACAGAAAGGCCGAGCGCCTGAAAGGCACGCGGCCACGTGTGTATCCGGGCCAGCCGCGACCGAGGGTGTGGAGACGACGGAGGGTCGCTGGAACAGCCAGAGGACAATGCGGGGCCCCCCGGCAGCCGTAATCTGCACTGAGCCGAAGACGCTTTGGAGGCGAACGTGCCATGCTGTCCAACAGGCTGCGAGTGCCGCTGGGCGGCTGTGAAGCTCGAGCGAGAAAGCACAGCTGGCAGAATGCGGGGGAAGAAGATGAGCGATGCAGACGGTGGGGGCGTTGGTTAAGGGATGCGCCCAGGAGGCCTCAGACCCTGGAGGATTCCTTGTCTGGTGAGGGCGGCTGTGCTATCCATGGCCAATCCACGATTGGAGCTCCACCAAGTTCCAGACCCTGGACTGTTTATCCAAGGTTTCCTTATTCAATTTCCTAACCGTCGCACCCCAGATCCATGCGAAACCTCCCCCTCCGCCAATGTAGTGGTTCTTGGAAATGGTGGGGCAATTATGTTTCAAAGAATATTGGTCCTGAGAATGAGTGCGGTAAACTGTTCGCCGACACGGACAAAACAAGGCTCTGGGATTGGAGTCGGAGCCGGAACCTGACAAAAAAGATGCACGGAACCAGAAAACAAGGGCGCTGGAACTGGGAAAAACGGCAACACGAAAACGGGGGAAAGAAGGTGCTCCGCCGCTTCCAAGAACCACTGGGCTCGGAGGAGGAAAAAGAGGAGGATGAAGAGGAGTAGCAGACGGATGATGATGATGAGGAGGAGGAAGAGGAGGAAGAGGAGGAGAAGGATGAGGAGGAAAAGCAGGAGGACCAGTGCACACCAAAGACTCATCAAAGATATTGCAAGAAGCCCTCCCTCCAAATTCCCTCTTCATGGGCCCCTACGAAGATTCATTTTTACTGAAGGAAATGCCCCGTTGGAAGATAACCGTTTGAAAATCCTGAACTGTGCCAGAACACCATTCCTCGGACTTCAGCGCAACGAATCATCGTTACTGTTGCGTCTTAACTACCCTGAGTCGTGCCATAATGCCATCTCTGGGACTTCACCACCATGAATCTACAGAACTCTTGCGCCCTGACATTCCAAGATCGTGCCAAGACGCCAACTTCGGCATGTTAACATGGCTTCCTTCGAACTGATGTAAACTCTTAAATGAATGTGCGCGGCGCTCAAACGAGAACCATACATTGAAAAGGAACTGCCCCCATCCGTGAAACGGTTGCAAGCTTTTGCACCGAATGTGCGCGGCGCTAAAGCGATAACCGCAATTTGAAAACAGCTCCCCCTCCATCCGTGAAGTTTTTGCCAACTTTCAAAACGGATGCGTGCGGTGGCGCTGAGGCGAGAACCACATTTTGAAATCGGCCCACCCTCCATCGTGAATTTGTTGCAAACTTTGAAGACGGATGAACGCAACGATAAAGCGAAAACCACGTTTTGAAAACCACCCACCGTCCATCCGTGAAACTATTGCACACTTCAAACCGTAAGAACATACATGATGAGGAATTTTCCGGCGAAACGCCCGGCCCGCCCTTTCGAGCGGCCTCGGGGTGCGAAAGGGAGGAGCTACTAATGAGGAAAAGGAGCGGACAATAAGAAAGAGTACAATAAGGAGGAGGAGGCAGAGGAGGAGGAGGAGGAGGAGCAGGATGAGGAGGAGTGGGAGGAGGAGGAGGAGGAGGAGGAGGAGGAGGAGGAGGAGGAGGAGGAGGAGGAGGAAGAGGAGAAGGAGGAGGAAAGGAAGAGGAGGAGGAGGAGGAGGCGAATTGCCCACCGCCATGACGATGATGAAGGTTAGCATCGTAACGATTGAGAAGGTTTTTAGTGAGGTCTTGAGGGCTGCGGGCGCTAGTGTCATGGCGAGCAAGGCTCCCAGAGGGAACCTTGCTCGTAGGCTTGGCGGCGGGAGGCGTAAGTGACCTCTCATCCGCACGGTGTGCCGCTCCTGGCCTGGCCAGGAGTCCAGTTCATATGCAAACTTCGTGTTAGAATTTGTGTAAGAACCCTGCACGGCGCTGAGGAGTGGGGGTCGTATGTGTCTGGGTTCAGTATGTTCGACCCCCACTCCTTCTTGCCTCAGGCCTAGTTCCAGGCAGGAGTTTAGCCGTGCCCCCTCGCTGGCACCGCAGACAGGTGCATCAGCCTTGCGCTCGGCAGAGGCTCCGTCCACGCATGCCGCAGATGCCATCTCGTGGCGTAGTCATAGGTGGCCCTCACCAGGGCAATAGTCAAAGCATCGTTTGAGCAGGCATTGTTTCGAACGCTGTTGAGGTCGCCTAAGTGGTGGCGAATGAATGAATGAATGAATGAATGAATGAATGAATGAATGAATGAATGAATGAATGAATGAGGAGGAGGAGGAGGAAGCGGAGGAGGAGGAGGAGGAGGAGGAGGAGGAGGAGGAAGAGGAGGAGGAGGAAAGGAGGAGGAGGACCCCCCCCCCCGAGCGAAACACGCCCGTCCTCTTGCATGGCAGCGGCGCGCCGCCCTGGGCCCCGCGCCCCCCCCTCTCGGCCCGCCCCCGCGCGCGGCGGTCCCTCCTGGGAGCCGACGGCGCGCGCCGTGCGGGAGGACCGCTGCGGCGACGACGGCGGCGGCGGCGCGTCGTCGTCGTCGTCGTCGTCGTCGTCGTCGTCCTCGTCGTCGTCGTCGGATGAGGAAGAGGAAGAGAGATGATGATGATGATGATGATGATGATGATGATGATGATGATGATGATGATGATGATGATGATGATGATGATGATGATGATGATGATGATGATGATGATGATGATGATGATGATGATGATGAGGATGAGGATGAGGATGAGGATGAGGATGAGGAGGATGAGATGAGGATGAGGATGAGGATGATGATGATGATGATGATGATGATGATGATGGATGCTGATGCTGATGCTGATGATGATGATTATGATGATTATGATGATGATTATGATGATGATGATGATGATGATGATGATGATGATGATGACGACGGCGACGATGATGATGATGAGATGATGATGATGATGATGATGGTGAGGATGAGGATGAGATGAGAGGATGAGGATGAGGATGAGGATGGATGAGGATGAGGATGAGGATGATGATGATGATGATGATGATGATGATGATGAATGATGATGATGATGATGATGATGATGATGATGATGATGATGATGATGAGGAGGAGGAGGAGAGGAGGAGGAGGAGGAGGAGGAGGAGGAGGAGGAGGAGGAGGAGGAAGAGAGGAGGAGGACGACGACGGCGGCGAGCAAATCCGCATCCGCGCCCTCGCGGCCTGGATTCCGGGGCGCGAGCCCGCGGATACGCGGCCGCACGGGTGCGTTCCGCGCTGAGCATCCGCGGACAAAGCGCCCCGTACCTGGATATCCTCCGAGACGATTTTCTCAATCCGTGGCCCCATGGAGGCCCCGACCCCTTCCCCGGGGGTGGTTTTCCGTCCCGGATCCACATTTTGATGGTCCCTGGGCTCGTCAGCGGGCCCTGGAGGCCGAAATCGAGGAAACACCGCCGGATGGGAAACAATCAGATCCTCGGAGATCTAGGTATCCGCGGGATCGCGGCCCAGGCGCCTGGCCCGCGCGGCCGCGGGTGCGGGTTTCGCCTACGAGGCTACGCCAGCGACAATGACCACGACAGCGGCGGCGGCCTCGGGCCGAGGGGAAAAGCGCGGCACTCTTCCTCCTCCTCCTCCTCCTCCTCGATCCTCTCCCGAGGCTCCTCCTCTTCCTCCTCCTTCTTCTCCTATCTCCGCTGGTTAGTAGAGTCCCCCTCCTTCTCCTGCTCCTCCGCCTCCTCCTGTTCCTCGCAGCTTTGCTTTGTCTTGAAGCTGAGGCCTCCTGGGGCGTTCTCGTCGCCATGGTTGGAGTTTTCTCAGAGCTCGGGCCAGAAGGCACCCGTGGACAACTCCGGGGACCTGGAAGAAGCCTGCCAAAAGAGGGTGAGGATAACTTCGGGTGAGGATAGACAGACATCGGGAATGTCTGAGAGCTGGCCAGCTTGGAGGGTGTATCGGGCGCCATGGCCGTTCCAGAGCGCTCTGAGTGTTCCCGAACGCTCTGGAGCGATTGATCCACATCCTGGGTCTGCCTCAAAACATTCAGCGGTCCACACGAGGACCGAGCGCTGGAGAGAGATAGGATGAAAGCGAGATGATGACAAGTTCGGTTGAGGTTGAGTCGGGGATCTCTGAGAGCTGGCGGGTCTGGCGAGATGCGTTGGGCACCGCGGCCCTTCCAGAACATATCGAAAGGCTCTCTGGAACGATGCATCCTCATTTTAGGCCTGCCTGACGATATGCGACTGCACGTGAATCCAAGTTACGCCCACGCCGGCCACGACCAATATATTTGGCTTCCTGGTAGGCCAGCGAGCCCCTGGTCGGCCGTCTCTGCAGCAGCGCTGGCTTCCTTCCTCTTCTCTTCTTCACTTGTTATTTTGTTCGTTGTTCCAACGCTCGCTCAAGACGTCTAGAGTACAGAAGGCCGCCTGGCACGGGCAATCTGCCTGGCACGCCTGTCGCGTCTTTTTTTGTCGCAAGCTTCCCGCTCGTAGTGCATGCCCCGAGTGTCCCATCGCGCGTCCGTGCACCAGCCCATGGCAGCACGCACTAGTTACAGAGGGCTACTTGACCCTCGCCCGCGCTACCAAGCCATAACAAATCAGACTTCTCGTCCGCTTCCTGTTGTGCCCTCCGTCCGGCGGCCACTTTGGAACGGTATGGCAGCGGGGATCCTAACAGAGGGTCAATTTCCCCACTCTTAACTTCTTGACAGAAGGTGAACTCCCACTAGCGTCACGAATTGAGCCCGATGAATCGGGCGGCCCCCTGCGATGGTAAGAAGGGGTAGGTCTAGCCAGAAAATTTTGCCACTACGTCCGCGCATGAAGCGCGCTCAATCGGTCCCGTTGCGAACGCCCCCTGTGTATATCTCGAACACGCTCTCGGCCTCGGGAAGCCAAGGCGAATCGTAGATCTTCGCGACGCGCTGCTCCGCACGGCCTTTCCTCAGGAACACCCTCGTCGTCGAGAAGTGCGCGAGCACGTGGCCTCCGATCGGCTTGGGGTGGCTGGGCATGAACGCGCAGCCCCCGCCAGGGTCCGCCATCACCTGGTTGGTGAGGACGACGGCTATGTTGAACTCCTCGCTCATTTTCTGCAGCTTGCTGAGGACACGGCCCAACTTCTGCTGGCGCTCTGACAACTCGCCCCGCCCGGAGAAATCGACCCGGAAGATGCCCATGATGGAATCGATTATGAGCAGCGCAAAGCGGTCCTCGTCAGTGACCATGAGGCTGGCGGCCTGAACGAGCAGCTGCTCCAGGTGCTCGGATGTATTCGCCGGCCCAACGGGCCAGAAGCGTGCTAATATCTCCGGTGAGAGCTCAAGAATGTTTCTGCTTCGCGCGCGCGGCGGTCCCCTGGGGGGTCCGCGGACGAAGAATACCCCTGCAAGGTCGGGTCAGAGATGCCGGAACTGCGGCCTCGGGGTCCCCCCGAGCTCCGAGCGCCCCAACGAGGCGCCAAAAGGGTGGCACGCCCCACGGCCGCAGGCCAGGAGCGTTCCAAGATGGCCCACGTTGGTCCCAAGACTGCCCAAGAAGCGCCCAGGACACTCCAGGAAGGTTCCAAGAAGACTTCGAGAGGCCCCACAAACGCACACAACATTCATGTTGCTGGGGTTCTCGAGCGATGTTGGCGGTTCCGCTTTTTCGAACTGCCGACCGCCGTGGACGGCCCAAGAAGCCCCAAGATCGCTCCAGAACGGCACAAAGCGCCTCCAGGAGGGCCCCCACATTGCCCAAGATGGCCCCAAGACGGCCCAAGAGGCCTCCAAGACGGCCCCAGGATGGCCCCAAGAGCCGAACAGACATTTCGAACTTTCGGCCCCAAGAGGCGCCCAGGAAGCTCCTAGAGGCCCCCAAGAGCCCGCCAAGAGACCCCATGAGGCCCCCAAGAGGAACCAAAAGAGGCTCCCAAGACCCCCAACATGCCTCCATGAAGCCCCAAGATGTCCCCAAGAAGCCCCCAAGAGGCTCCCCCCACGCCTCAAAACTGCTCCCCAGAGGCTCCCGAGAGCCCTCCGAAGAGACCCCAAGAAGCGTCCATGAGGACTCTGACCCACATCCCAGGTACGTCTCGAAACTCTGCTGGAGCTCTCTTGAGTCATCTTGGCGCCCTCTGGGGCAATTTATCGACTCTCGTTGACAGGGTGCGAGCCACATCTCCAAAGATCTCCTCGAGGATACCTGCCCCACCGTTCCCCATGGGACGAGCACACCACCATGCAGCCACCGTGGTGCGAAACGGGCCGGCGGAATGAGCGAAGCGATTGAATAACACCGCGCGTAGATTATGTTCTCCATCGCAGCGTCCGCCGAGACTCCCTTCCCTTCTGCTATCTGCTTGATGCGCTCTGGCCGGAAGCAGCCCTCTGTGTCGATGTAAACCACCTTGCCGTTCGCTCCACCCATGTTCGGAGGCAGCTGGGCCATCACGGCCAAAGAATGGCACAGCTGGGTCTTTCCGCAGCGAAACTCACCGAAGAGCTCGGTTGTGGAGCAACTCTCCACGCCGCCGCCAAGCATCTGATCTAGCTTAGAGGCGCCGGTGGAGAGAGCAAATCGCGACTTCATCTTGTCAACGAGCTGTGTACATGTGACAAAGCCGGCCTCGGTGGACTTCCGGGCAGCATCGATAATCTTGTCAACCTTTTGGTCGGAAAGACCCTTTATGTTGAGCAAGTCTTTGCGCATGGCGAAGACGACCGACTGGCTTGTGTTGAAGCCTGCCTCCTTCAGCTTCTTCAGATCGGCTGCGTTGATGCCAGCCTCCTGTAGCTTATCAATCAAACTGTAAGCCTCCTCTTCCTCTTGCAACAATTCCGCATCGGCATTAGCGCGGGTCGCGGCTCCCTTTGCTTCCACTTGGAGTGCTGCGCTCATGGCGTGCTGCGGTGCAGAGATCGAGATGATGCGCAAGGCCCCGCTAATCTGGCGGCCTAATGCTAGCGAGACCTGTTGGGAACCAAAATGGCCACCGCAATGCGTCGAAGACGACTGGCACGTCTTGAATCACTATCTCGTCACGGGTACGTCGGACACGCCACATTGAATTGCAATCAAGGTGCTACCACAGGGAACGAAATCCCGGCCCCCAAAAGCGCCTGGGTGCACGAGGCGCACTCGAGGAACAACCATGGAAGGACCTCAAGGGCGAGCCCCTTGCGAGCCCGAGCTGTGCCTTATTTCAGCGTTTGGCCTGCGCAGCTCAACAGCCTAGGGTCCTCTGCCAAGGTGCTGCCACTTATGGGCTGACGCGCATCTTGCAAATACCTGCGGGCCACCTGGAACCTGGTAGCCTGAGCGTGGCTGCCGAGGGGGTCATCCCCGACTCCCACGCCAAAGCCTTGACTTTCCAAGGACGCGCGCCGGACTGACTGGCCGTTCCCTGGCTTTCGCGGGTCATCAACCTGGAGGACATCTTCCCGGCAGGAGCAGCGTCAGCTCACAATCGCATCTGGAACTGGGTCGGCAGGGAACGAGGGTGCACCTCTGCTCAGAGAGAGGCGCTTTTGGATAGGAGCGCTTTCAATTAGGGAGCTCGCCCAGAGAGTAGTACAGTCAAGGTTTCGCCATGAGGTACGACCCCCCTGTTGGTCTTAGTTGCGTCTAGGTGTAAGACGAGCGCCAAAGGACGACCAATGTAAGGCCCCAAGGCACATCGAGCCCCTTCTGAACAAACAAGTTGGACCTTGTCCCCCCCAAAATGGCCGCACTGCTTGAGATGGGCAATCCTGCATAGGTGGGAGGAGTTTTGCACCTGGAGCGGAACGATTCTGGGGGTGGGCACTTCAGAAAGGCAGGGCTCGTTCTAAGCAATGCTTTCTGTTTTCGTTCTGCTTTCTTTTTCCCTCGTTCTGTTTTCTTTCCGCTTTTGCCGCGACACAACATCAAAACGAGAACGGCAAATGATATCGCCGAAGCCCATTTCGCCCGAGCCCTGCAGATAGGTTCCTCTGGACAGGGGCACCTCTGGAAACGAACGCCCTAGCAACGGAGCACCTCGGGGGGCATCGCCTCTAGAGAAGAACATACCGAGAGGGTGCGCGAGGAAACGGCGCATGTCAACGCAAGTGAGGCTGGAACGCCCATTGCGGAGAAGCAGGCCGACCTGTCCAGGAGGGGGGGCTTCCTTGTGACGGGTGCGGTTCGAAAGGTGAAAGCACGTGCGACACATCAACAGCTTGACATGTTCAGCAGTGGGGACCAACTGAGGCCATGGCGGCTGGGAAATTTCTGACCCCGTGCTCGGACATAAAGGCGCACTGTTCGCTGCCGCACGGGTGCAAGCGCCACCCCACGGTGGCATTTCATGCTTTGGTAGTTCTCTATGATCCGTTCAGGTGTGGAGGGTGGTAGCGGACATGTGAGAGAGAACGCGTTTCACAGACGTTTGCCTGGAAAACATCCCGCGACACGTCGGAACCGGGGCCACCCCGCTCAAACATTCGGCGCCTGGAAAAACCGGGGGGACCCTCTCCCCCCCAGACCCCTTTTCCTAACCCTGGCCCTCCACAAGGGGGGTCTAACCACCCTCCCCCTGGCGTTCGACCCCCCCCCCCCCTCCTCCTACTCGCCGCTGGCAAAGAACGCTTGTGACGACGACGGCGCCGACGACTGCGACAACATCAGCGGCGGCGGCGGCGCACCTAGCGCCAGCGCCCCGTGCTGGCGAGTTGGGGGAGGGATCATCGCCACCACCGTCGTCATCGCCATCGTCATCAACATGATCACCATCATCGTCATCGTCGTCGTCCTCATCGCCATCATCACCGTCGTCTTCATCATTATTCATGGTTTTCGCCGTCGTCGTCGTCTGTCATCATTATCATCATCATCCTCCGCACCATCTGATATGATCCTACTAGGGCTCGATCCAATCTTAAGAGAGTCCCACCACAACTCAGTCTATGTTTCAAAGAATCCGACTAAGGTTCGATCCAGCTCTGATATAATGTAATTGGGGCTAGGTCCATTTTTGGTAGGGGTCCTACTAAGGCTCGACCAAGCTCGAATCAAACCGTATAGAAAGGGCTCGATCCAACTCTATCATAGTCCTGAGAGGACTCGATCCAATTATGACAGAATCCTGCTCGGGCTCGATCCAGCTCTAATAGACCCTGCTGGGCTCGATCCAGCTCTATTAAAATCCTGGGCCTGGTCCAGGTCTGATAGGAGCCCTGTAGGGCTCGATCCAGCTATGACGGAATCCTGATAGGGCTCGATCCAGCTCTACTAGAAACCTTTTAGGGCTTCATCCAGCTCTCATGCGACCCAAATAGGGCTCGGGCCGGCTCTAGTGCAACCCCACTAGGGCTCGGTCCAGCTTTGATGACATCCTACAATGGCTCGGTCCATCTCCGACAGAGGATCGATCCAGCTATAGCAGAATCCAGCGAAGGCTCGATTCAACCTCAATGGAACTAGGAGCACGCGTGCGCTTCGCGCGCGATGAGGTTCTAGCGCAGACCAGGGCAGCGGCTCAACAACGGACGGGTCAGAGTCTAATCTCAGAACCCAATCGCCACGGAACGCCAGAGACAAGGCCCTCATCGACCTCGTCATCCTCATCACCGTCCTTCTGTTCATTGCCCTATCCTCCTCCTCCTCCTCCTCCTCCTCCTCCTCGTCCCAATTCTCATCATGATTTATGATGCCTCCACCACTGTTTTCTATGCTCCTCATTCTCCTTTTTTTCCTCTCTCTCTCTCTTTCTCTCTCTCTCTCTCCCTTTCCATCATTAATGTACCACCCCGTCGTATTCCATGTTCCTAAATACAATCCTCGCGTTTCTCAAATTCCGCCGCCATCTCTCCCCCCCGATCCCGCGTGCTCCTCCTCTCCCTCCTTGGCGTTATCATACTTATAGCCGCCATCAAGACATTCATCCCTCGAGGCGACGGATTGTAGCAATGATGATAGAGGAGTCTGGTGGGCTCTCTTCCCCTCCCCCCCATCTCTCTCTCTCTCTCTCTCCTCCACTGGCAGCGTTCCCGTCGTCCACATCCCGAGCGTTAGAACGCACTGCGCGCTCGCTCCTGATGAGGGTGATGAGTAGAATCATGCGGAACTGTGGGGTTCTCGGAAGAAGGGGGGGCCCTCATGTGGGGGATCGGCGTGGGCGAGTATCCTGGAAGCAAGATTATTGGGGGAGCAGGGACATGTCGGAAGCTCTATTGAGGCGCTCCTGGGCCGCCTGAGGGCTCTCCTGGGCCTTGGGGCTTTCTTGGGGGACACTTAGGCCGTATCGGGGCGACGCGGGAGGCCCCTCGGGCCGCCGTGGCCGTCTTGGGGTCCTCTTGGGCCGTCTTGGGGGGTCTGGGGCTGCTTCAGGGCCACCCTGGACGCCCTGCTGGGGCCCTTGGGGCTCTCTTGGGCCGCCTTGGGTCTTCCTTCGGCTATCTTGGGGCCCTCTTGGAGGGCTTTCGGGCGGTCTCCGGGCGACTTGCAAGGCCCCTCGGGCCGCTGTAGGCGATCAGGAGGCCGAAGAAGCGAGAACGCTAAAACCTCCAATAACCGAAAGGACATCTACAAGTTTGGCCTCTTGAGGCTCCCTTGGGGGAGCTCTTTGGCCCCCCCTGGGCTGTCTGGGACCGCTCTTGAACAGTCTTGGGGCTCTCGTGAGCCTCTGTGAAGCCATCTTTTGCAAACTTGGGGGCCGCTTGAGGGCCCCTAAGGACACCCGGTGGCTCCGGTAAGGTCGACGGGGCCCCCAGCACACCAGTCGCCAGTGGAGACTCCGGCCCGAGGGCCCCTGGCCCCTGTCCCTGTTATGTGAAGATCCTGCTCGGGTTGATCCACCTCTGATGCAATCCTGCTGGGGGGCTCGACCCAGCTGAAATAGAATCCTACTCGGGCTCGATCCAATTCTAAAGGAATTCTACCAGGGCTCGATCCAGCTGTAATGTAATCCTACTAGAGCTCGATTCAGCTCTAATGGAGTCCAACTGAAACTAGTTCAGTTCAAATCGAATCCTACTAGGGCTCGATCCAACTTTAATGCAATCCTACTCGGGCTCGATCCAGATCGAATGCGATGCTACTCGGGCTCGAGCCAGCTTCACTAGAATCCTACCATGTCTCGATCGTCGTCGTCGTCGCCGGCGCCCGCCGTCGTCGTCTGCAATTGCCGAATGGGGTAGGGAGCGGGGGGGGGGGGCGGTTCGAGCGCCCCCCCCCTCCCTTGGGGCCCGTTGCGAATCCCCCCGCCTGAGCGTCGAGAGAGAGAGCGCTCTCTCGGAGATGTCCGCCTCGGTGGCCAACTGTCCACCCCTTGGCCTCGTGGCCGCGTGGCCCTCGTGGCTCTGCAGGGGTCGGGCGGGCTCGATGCCTCGTGGCCCCGCGGCCTCGGAGACCTGTGGCCGCAGGGCTCGGCATCGGACTCGGACGATGCATCGGCGGCGTGCAGCTGGAGTTCTGTTGCTCCCATCGGACTCAAGGACCACATCCCAGAAGTAATTTCGAGCACCCAGGAAAGTATCGAAACAGTGTCGAACGAGTATCGCCTCCCAGGGCCTGGCACGCGAAGAACCTCCAGTTTTGGTACTTCCCTGGTGCTGCAAATTCTTTCTGGTAGTCAAGGCTAAAGTAGGTTGGAACATCATCAAGCTGGAATCAAGTGGAGCTCTCAGAACGTCCCGCGTCGCCACTGGATCGCCGATGCTTCGGTGAGGCAGCTCTTAGCTCGGCCAGAGTCTGGCCGCTCGTGGGGAATCGAACGGGGGTCGCCTGCGTGCTCTCGCCGTCTCGGTGACCTGATACTTGCGCCAGCGCCGTCAGCTCGACGCGCTGCCCGTCCAACACTTTGAGCATGGCACGGCGATGCCCCACCACGCGCTGAGATTCGATTAGGCGCCGCCAAACTAGGGGGCGATACATTTGTG